CAATACTACTTCCCCCCGGCAAACCGTTGTTCAGGGTTTGTAGAGGCTAGGTTAGTTATTATCGATACACACTTCCCACCCTACTCACTATTGCTTCCCTTTAACGAACTAATCGTTATCCCGTGGACGGCAGTGGCGCCCCATTGGCCTCGAACCCTGTGCACAGAGTGCCAGCGTTTCGATCGCTGCGAAGCGAAGGGCTTCCACTACCGAATACGGAGTGAGGACGAGCACAAGGAGAAAGCCACGCGTCTGCGACCCTCCTCATCAGACTCAGAACTGACCAACGAACGACGACGGGACTTGATCCGAAAACGAGACACGAGAAGCGTGCCGAAGCCCTTCGCTCTAAACGACGGGCCGTAGCACGGTGGGAAGCCTGACAATACTTCCTAGATTGAATTTGGATTTTGCTCTCTTGTCCGCGCGCGCATTCCGCGACGCGCGAAAACAATCGACCTGCTTCATCGGGCCAACACGGGGGATTTCAGTTCCGTGTGTGTCCCCACACTCAATTTCCAAAAATCCTTGGCACACTCCATCTTGCTGTTTTTCTGGGCCTCTTTCCGCACAATTAACACTCCGAACGAAAGACAGCACGGGTCGTGAGGTTGTGCGTCACACATGGACCAAGGACCACCGACCCCGCAGCCACTAATTTCTGTATGAAAACGGCCGCGGGCATGCCACAAGGAAACATCCTCGGGGGAGGTCCCCAAGGATGAGTGGAACGACGCTGCAAATTTCCCTTAAGAGCCACAAGGAAATTTCGTTGTGGCCCAAGGAACTCGTAAGGCGTGTCTAACGAGGGCCCCTGTCTCCGACGTTGGGTAGTATGCGGAGCCGTTCACTGAGGATTATTGTATTTTCCATTTTACTTTTTAAAAAATATGGACAAAGATTTCACTAGCATTTGGTTATTCATTGTTTTTGGGAAGGGAAAAAAGCTTTCAGCAGGATTTGATTCTCCTTTTTTGCCTTAAGTTTGTTTTGAGTTTTCAAGTAGCAAAAACCGTGTCACACCTTTGCGTTGAGCTAGTTCAACGGTGCATGTGGGACTTGGCCCCCAATGAGGAGAAGGCAGCGCAAAAAAAAAAAAAAAAAAAAAAAACACTGGTGTTGCTGCATTATATTCTCCTCTCAAATTATTTCCTCTTTCATACGGCTACTCCTAAGGCTATACAGGGGACCACTGCAAGCACAACCATCTACTTCTGTTGGTGATGGGAGGTTACCTCTCTCGGTGGAGGGAGGTAATTGCGTGTTTGGCCCTTGCTCTACTGGTTTAGGGTGTAGGGGTGGGGCCACCGGTGAGGGGCCTTCGTACACAACTTGAAGGACGGAGCATTTGCCAGTAGGCAGTAGCATTCCTCCCTTTTCATCTTCCCTTACCCCCATCCAGTAGCAGTAGTGTGTAAGGCCAACACCGTGTACTGTCCCACACGCCACATGCAACCCACTCACATTCGCATTGCATTTCACACCCCTGTTCGCTGAAGACCGTACGAATACCGACCCATGACCAGGCGGATCCAGCTGAATGTCTTCCTTTCGACCATTGCTTTTTTTTTTTTTTTTTTTTTCTTTTTTTCTTTCTTCTCTCCAATTCTTTTTTCACCTTTCACTACCTTCCTACCACTACTCCTAAGACTATATAGAGGGGACCCCTGCAAGCATAGGGCCTCGCAAGCGAGGTAATTCATGTTGCCCCCCGCCCCAACAGCGGTAGTCAGGAATGGGGTGGGGCCGCCGGTGGGGGTCCGGCTAACGCAAAGACCGAGCATTTTGCCAGTAGCTGCGCCTCCCTTTCTCATCGTCCCCCACCTCTCATCAAGTAGCAGCAGAGGCTATGGCCAACACTCTCCCACACACCACACACAACCCACTCGCGCTCACACTCACACCCATGTTGGTCATAGACCCAGCAAATACCGATCAGGGGTATCCAGAGGACTATCACAGTCCATTGGCACTAAGTGCACCGCAGGCGGGCATGGGGCTTGAACCCACAACCTCCTGAATGCCACTTGCATGCCTAAC